CGAGAGCACGGGGTCCCGCGGCTCGCCTGGACGTCGACTCCGGCGGAACCGCACGGAGGGCGACGAACCGATCCTCGAGCTCCGCATGGGCGAGTTGGCCGTGGACACAGGGCGTAACATGGAGATCGACGCCGGCGTCCCCCTCGAGGAGTCCCGCCGCGCCGCTGTCTTAGCGGAGGCACGGGGCTCTGCCGCGCAAGGGCCGCCTCCCCCCGCCGCCGCTGCCACCGGCGCGGCGTCTTCGAGCGCCAGCGCCGCCCTGCGCGGATGGAGGCCGATGCCGGCGCCCAACAGCCAGGGGTCAACGACGACGAGGCTGTCTGCCCGACGTGCCGCTCCGCTGCCACCTGGCGCAGGTGCCCGCGAGCTGCGGCCCCCGCCGGCGACTCGCACCTACCAGGCCCAGGGCCTGCCGCCGCCGCTGTCCGCCCACCACCGCCGCCTGCTGCTGTGGCCGGCGGCCGGCCGGCCCGCGGCGCGGCTCCCGCCTTCGCCCAGGCGCGCGCCGCAGCGCGGGCTTCCGCTGTGCCCGAGCGCGCCGGAGAAGCACCGCCGCAGCCTCCCGACCCACACGCTGCCCCGCACGTGCCCTTCCGCAACGGGCACTACTGGTGCCCATGGTGCCCAGACCGTGGCTTTCGCACGCCTGGTGGTTTCGTGCGGCACCTCACGGCGACGCACACTGGCCAGGCCATGGACGCCAACATGCGGGACACGGTCGTCGCCCTCCAGCGCAGCGTCTGCGCCGACTCCACCTGCGGCGGCCTCCGGCCACTTGGCCAACGCACGTGCGCCCGCTGCCGGCAGCCGACGCTCTGCCGCCCTCCCGTCGTCGGCGACATCATCACGGGCGCCGCGACTGCAGCGCACCGCGCACAAGGCCGCGATGACGCCGCAGCTGCCCCAGATGCCGCGCAACCCGCCGACGACGCCGCTGCTCTTGATGACGGCCCTGTGGTCGGGACACCCGCCTTGCCGCTCGACTTCACGAGCCGCGTCCGCGCCCTGAGCCACAACACCTGTGTCCACGTGCCCCTCAGCTGCCGCTCCCGTCTCCTCTCTGCCACCCGGCAATGCTGGAACCGCTGCGCCGACGGCGCCCGCGAGTGGTCACAGCTGGAGGAGGCGCGCTCCAAGCTCCTGCTTGGGCCCATCCCCGAGGGTGCGCCAGCCCCCGAAGAAGTCGCCCTGCGCCTGGGGCTCTGGGAGTCTGGAGGCTTTGCCGCTCTGTTGGACCGCCTGGAGCAACAGCGGACCCTAGCCAACAGGACCAAGCGTCGGCGACGTGGGGGCACCGTCGACTCCGAGGGCAAGCAGCGGCGCGCGAAACACCTCGCCGCCGAGGGGGCTTTCCGCAAGGCCGCCCTCGCCCTCATGAGCGACACCCTGCAGACCAGCGCCGAGGAGGACCTCCGCTACGCCCGCCAGCTTCTCCCTCGGACCGACCGCCCGGACCGCGCCCTCGCTGCCGCCGCCCAGCCAGGGCCCCCGGGCGTGCCGCCCGACCCGCAGGCCGCCCCGCCCGGGGCCGCTGGCGCCCCTGCGCCGCCCCCCCCGGCTGCGGACGGCCTACCCGGCGACCCAGCCGCGCCGGCCGCGCACGACGGCAACCACGACGACGACAACGACCAGGACGGCACTAAGGACAACCCTCTCGACGGCGTCCGGTGGTCGAAGCTGACTGCTCCGGGCCCTACGGGCACGCGACCAGAGCACCTCAAGGAACTCTTCTCCGTGCCGCGCCGCCGCGAGGCCGCCAGATTGCGCCGCGCACTGAACCGCCTCCACGCTGCCATGCGCGACGGCGCCCTCCACGCGTCCATGCGGTGGATCGTCCGGACCCGCCTCGTGTGGCAGAAAAAGCGGAACGGGAAGCCACGCCCCATCAAGATGGGAGAAGTCCTCCGCAGCTCCTTCGCCAAACGCTACACCAAGAAACACTTGCACAAGCTGCGGGCCGTGTTCCGGCAGGCCCACCAGTGGGGTGTTGGCGTTCCTGGCGCTTGTGAGGCGATGGCGCACTGGCGCGGCACCGTGGAGGAGCTGGCCGCCGCTGGGGCCATCCCCGCTCTAGTCGCCCTCGACGTCGACTTGGTCAACATGTTCGGCTCCGTGGAGTGGGACTCTATGCGCGGCGCGATTGACCCGGGCGTTTTCCCGGAGATCGCCGCCTGGACGAACTGGCACCACCGCGAGCCCTCCACCACCGAGCTGCCTTCTGGCGAACTCTTCGACACTGACCGCGGGGCCGAGCAGGGCGACGGATTTGGCACCGTCCAGGCCGGGCTCACCATCGCGGCCGCGCGCGCGCCCGCCCTCGCCGCCGCCGCGCCCGCGCTCGCCGGGGCGCCCGCTGCCGCCGACCCGGGTCGGCCCCCTGCCGCCCCCGGCCCGGCGCCCCCTGCTGCCGCCCCAGGCCCGCCTGCCCAGGCGCCCGCCGCTGCCCCTGCCGCTGCCGCGCCAGCCCCGGGAGGCGCCGCCGACGCGGCCGCCCCCGCCGCCGCCGGCCTGCGGGCGTGCGAGGAGTGGTACGTGGACGACGGGCAGGTATTCGTCCGGCCAGCAGACCTTGACCCTTGGCTCAGGGCACTGGACGCCAGCCTCGCCCGCTGCGGCGGCACCCGCGGCTCTGTCGCCGAGGGCACGGCGAAAAGCTCCTGCCGCCTGCTCTGCCCGCAAGAGCAGCGCCACCTCCGCGACGGCTGGGACACCGACTACGTGCGCGCCGCCTGCAACGTCCTTGACCCACGGGGCCCCACGCTCGCCTTGGGCGCCCCCTTCGGCAGCGCAGAGGCGATTGACGACGAGGTCAAAGCGGTCGTGGAGAAGGCCCGGGCCGCCCGCCTCGCCCTCCTCACCGCCAACCACGCCCCCACCGAGCTCGCCCTGACCCGCCTGTGCGCCGACGTGTCGAAGCTTTCCTACCAGTTGCGCCTCAACGGAGACAGGATCGGCCACGACCGGCTCGCCACCTTCGACAGAGATCTGCGTACCGCAGTGGAGAACATCGTTGGCGGCGACCTACCAGACGACGCTTGGGGACAAGCCACCACCGGCGTCTCCTGGGGCGGCCTCGGCCTCCGCACCGCGGAGCGCGTGTCCACGGCCGCTTTCCTCGCCAGCCGCGTGAGCTCCCGTCCGCACGTCCGCGAGATGGCCGAGCACCTCGCCCTGGCTGGCCTGTGCACCGCGGCCGCGGCCATGGCGGCCTACGACAGGCGCACGGAGGAGGCGGCGGTCACGCTGATGGGGCTCCTCCCTCCGACCCCCGGAAGGCAGCTCCTTGATTTCCTCGCAGACGAGGCAGACCTGTGCGAGGATCGGTGGGCCGGCCTCTTCGACGCTGACGCACCCGCAAACGACGGCGCTCCCAGACGGCACGGCCGGCCCCAACGCATGGGCAGCGGCATCGCCCCCCTCGACGAGGACGAGGACGACGAGCATCCGGCTGCCGCTGTCCCCCGCGGCCGCGCCCACCTCCAGAGGGCCATCCTGGCCCGCCTCGACACGCAGGCGCGCCTGGAACTTCGCGAGCGCCACGCCCAGGCGGGCAACAACCCGGCGCTGCGCCGCCTGGAGGACCTCGGCCACCCCGACACCAACCACGAGTGGCTCTGGGCTCTGAGCCGGCACAAAGGGCCCCTCCTCGACCAGCAGGACTTCGTGGAGGGACTCCGCCTGCGCCTCGGCGCCGCCGGCCCCAGCGAACCCACCCCCTGCAACCTTTGCGGCGCTGAGCTGCTCGACTCCGCGGGCTCGCACGCTCTCTGCTGCAGCAGAGCCGAGTCCACGAAGGGCCACCACGCCCTTGCGCGGCAGGTGCACGAGGCTGCCAAGATCTGCGACCCCGCCACCGAGCTGGAGGCGCAGAACCTCATCCCGGGCACCCGGTTGAGGCCCGCCGACGTGCTCACGGGCGCGCTGGGGCACGGGCTCACGGCCCTCGACATCGGGATCGCCTCTCCCGACGCGCGCCACGCCGGCCCGGATTGCGTCTCCAGCATGTACGAGCGCAAGACGGCGTACTACGCCCCCTACAGCGACGTTCTGGACCGCCAGAATATCCTGTACCAGCCCCTTGTGTGGTCTGCTTACGGGCGGCCCCGCCCCCGGACGACATCCATCCTCCGCACACTCGCGACCCGCCTTGCCCGGCGGAGGGGATGCTCGGACGGGGCGTGGCGGTGCCGCCGCCTGGCCAGCGCGGCTGGCGTGGCGCTGTGCCGGCGGGCGGCCGCCCACGTCCGGGCCTGCTGGCCCGGCGGGGGTGGCGACTGAGGGCGCCTGCCAGGCCTCCCCCCAGGCGCGGGCTCCCCACTCTCCCCGCCCCTGTCCACCCCTACCCCAGCACGCGCGCCTAACCAGCGGGGTCGGGTGGCTCACACCCCGCGGCCGTGCTCCCCCCCCGTTGCCCCTTGCCTGCCTGCCTGCTTGCTGCCTTCCTCCCTCCCCCTCCCCCTCTTCCCCTCCCTCCCCCCCCTCCTCCTCTGGGCCCGGAGGCCGCGCAATGGCGCGCAGTGGCCTGACGTGCTCCCGTGCGGGCGCGGCCGCTGGAAACGCGTTTCGGTCCTCGTCCGCAGTGCCTGCCTGTGCTTAGGAGAACTGGGTGGTTGCATTTGAGACGCGTTTTATTCCTCATACGTAGCGTCACGTTTGGTGGCACGGGGACGCCCCGGGCAATAATTGTCGCGGGTGGCTCTTCTTGTTCGTGTCTGTTCGTGCGTCGGGGGGGCAGGATTTGTCCGCCCAGGCCGGCTCCTACATCCTCCTCCTCCTCCTCCTCCTCTTCCTCCTCCTCCTCCCCTGCTGTCCGCCCGTGGTCGCCAACGCTCGCCAGCCGCCCTTTCGGCGCTGGCTCGCGCTGGCAGAAACCACAGTTGTCGCGAGACCTTGTTCTGTGTCAGCCGCGGTTTTGTTACCACGCATTTTTGCCATTGGTAGTTATTGTTAGATGCTTCGCCAGAGGGCCAACAATTGATTTGTCGGCACGGTGCGATGACGAAAAAAAAAAAAAACTCAGCCACTGCTGATTTTGAGCGGGCGTGCTCCTTGTCAGCGTCGGCTCGGCTGTCGCATCACAGACTGTTCAAGCGACGGAGCAGGGGGCGTCTCTATTCATCGGAAGGGATTATGTTCCAGCCAGACAAGATAGACAGCAGCATTGTCGGTGCGTTCTATGCCGGCATTGACACACACAGGTTAGGATATATGGAAGAGCTTGTCAATTTGGAGCCAGAGGACTACCACCTCTTGATTGGCATCACAAAGCAGAGCGTTCTCTTGGCAGCACGAGGGGTCGGATTTCCACATAACTATAGTCGTATAGCTGCGTTTGAGGCACGTGGCGAGACAGATTGAATCACTCCGATGTATGGCGATGACCTGACAGGTTACGATTTTTTAGAATCGATCAAGACGTGGATGAGGCAGAGCAGGAATGAAGCATGGTCATTGGCAGAAGTTTTGCTTGCCAGAGGGCGCAGTGGTGTTGGAATGGCTGCCTTATTCATATCGCATATTCAGGCGCAGTCTCTGGAGGAAACTTTGAATGATGTGCCGGACGAGGTTAATCTGTGGCTCGACTACACCACCCTTCGTCAATGTCGGGATGATTTCGACCCAGACAGAATCTGTAGCACCATACGCTACATATCTAAAGTCCACCAAGGCACGTTCGCAATAGTGGATGAGCCCACATTGAGCTATTTGTCAAGATCGTTTTGCATATTTGAGGTTGCTTGCACAGAACCCACCAAACTTCGCATCCAGGTCAGCCAAGACACCACACAAATGGTCATGGACCGAACAATAACAATCGACGCCAAAAAGGCCGACGCTAGAAACAAGAAGCACAAGGGATATGTGGACGGCTTCATCGTTGGAAAGTGGGGTGGCTTCGCAGCGTTCAACAAGAGTGTGTCGGAGGCGTTCGCAGCGGCCCACATACAGCAGCTCTTCGTCGCCCGGAACAAGGCCGCCGTCGCAGGCCTCTCGAGGCTGCAGGCCCATGACAGCGGTACAGTGCGGGAGCGGGCAGTGGGCGCGCTGAGCATGTTGGCCGAGGAGGGGCAGATCGGGGGGCAGCGGCGGCCGCGCTCCGGAACCTGGCCGCCGAGAGCGGGCTCCGGCGGCCCATCTGGGAGGCCCCGGGCGCCGCGACCGGCCTCGCGCGGTTGCTGACCGACGACGGCGCCGGGGCGCGGGAGGCAGCGGCGGCCGCGCTCCGGAACCTGGCCGCCGAGAGCGGGCTCCGGCGGCCCATCTGGGAGGCCCCGGGCGCCGCGACCGGCCTCGCGCGGCTGCTGACCGACGACGGCGCCGGGGCGCGGAGGGCAGCGGCGGCCGCGCTCCGGAACCTGGCCGCCGAGAGCGGGCTCCGGCGGCCCATTTGGGAGGCCCCGCGCGCCGCGACCGGCCTCGCGCGGCTGCTGACCGACGACGGCGCCGGGGCGCGGGAGGCAGCGGCGGCCGCGCTCCGGAACCTGGCCATCGAGAGCGGGCTCCGGCGGCCCATCTGGGAGGCCCCGGGCGCCGAGACCGGCCTCGCGCGGCTGCTGACCGACGACGGCGCCGGGGCGCGGGAGGCAGCGGCGGCCGCGCTCCAGAACCTGGCCGCCGAGAGCGGGCTTGAGCGGCCCATCTGGGAGGCCCCGGGCGCCGCGACCAGCCTCGCGCGGCTGCTGACCGACGACGGCGCTGGGGCGCGGAGGGCAGCGGCGGCCGCGCTCCGGAACCTGGCCGACGAGAGCGGGCTCCGGCGGCCCATCTGGGAGGCCCCGGGCGCCGCGACCGGCCTCGTGCGGCTGCTGACCGACGGCGGCGCCGG